GGGAAAGACGGACGAATTTTCGTATTATTGGGTCATCTTTTCTTACCACCCTAGCAATTTTGTCTTGTGACTCACCAAAGCTACAAATAATGCCAGAAAGTAAAGGAAGACGAACTTGTATAATGTCATCGAGCATCATGACTTCGGGAATATCTTTGTCTATCAAAATGTCAAGTTCTTGCAAAAGACGGAACAATAAATTGCGGTTGGCAACTTTATATTCAGAATATAATATTCTATAAACTGTCATAATTTCTCCACTATGGCCTGAAAGATGACCCTTTTTGTGTTTATTAATTGCATTCGTACCGATCCAAAAGCCAACCAGCCAAGCACATAATTTAATAATAGCAGGAGAAGAATGTATATCGATGATACTCTCGACGATTTTGGCAAAAGTACCCTCCTGACTTGGGAATCGAACTTTTTCTGGAATAAACATTTTCGCTTGAGACTGCACTTCAGGATCACAATTTAAAAATTGCGTAACAGATGGTTGCCATATGAAGCCTGGTCTCACGATAGAAATGCGGGAATTTGAGCCACTCGAACTGAGATTTTCAACTTTATTAAGTAATTCCAAATCACGAATGGCAATTTGCTTAGCATTATTGATAGTATAGTCCGTACTTCGAAACGGATAAAGTTTGACCTTTTTTTGTATTAAATTTGTGGCGCTATCATGAGTAAAGTAAACAAGCCTAAATAATGCTTTTCCATCCTTACTGCATTGATATCGCAAGGAAGGTCCTGACATCATCTGAAGAACAAGGATATGGGCATCATTGCACACAAAAGGCTGAGAAAATGCACAGTTTATTGGTACTATTTTGTAAAGAACACCTTCACCACTAGTGACGCCGCTAACATTGCGAGGTGTACTATCATCACCCATCACTTGATCACCTTCCTTAATTGTTTCAACAGCTTTTATGTGTCCATCATACATTAAAATGGGAGTACCTTTTCCAAAGCATTTTCCTGTAATTAAATGATTATTAAAAACGATGAATATGATATTCAATATGATGTAACGCAATAATTGTTTCTCAAATATATCATCATGACTGCGCTATAATGACAATATTCGTTTCCTTTAATAATGATAAAATTCTCCTACGTGTTATGGTTAAAAGAACAAAAAATATAAGAACGTGAATTATCATGCATAATAAGAAAAATATCAATATATGATGTACATATCTGTATCGACATGTCCTAAAATGCAGCAGATTGGTGATCTCAAATTGTCTTTAGATCTATTGGCAAGCGCCTCCTCATATCGTTTCTACAACAACGAAAAAAAAATTTTAGATTATATAAAATTACGCATACGAAATCACAATAATTGCGAAAATTGCCTTTCGACGTTCCGCAGCCTCGGCCTTTCTTTGGTTCCTTTGTTTTTGGCGCTCTGTAACTTTTTCATTGTCAGATTCTTCATCGCTATCCTCATCAATATCCTCCGATTCAGTCTCATCTTCCCCACTCTCAGATTCATCTTTTACTGGCTCCTGCTTTTTGGCCGCACCAGCTTTTGTAGGAGGTTCCTGCTTTTTGGCCGTATCTGTTATTGTAGGAGATTCCTGCTTTTTGGCTGTATCAGCTTTTGTAGGAAGCTCCTGCTTTTTGGCTGTATCAGCTTTTATAGGAGCCGTCGGTGGAGTTTCAACTGAAGCAATTATATATAACGTGAAATGTTAATTTAATATGCACACAGTCCAACGTGATAATTATAATATCTTAAAGATTAAAATATACCATCATTTGTTGAGATCTTTTCATCATCTGATAACACATCATCTTCTTCATCTGATGATGACGCATCCCATTGATCTTTGATATTGTCTTTTATTTCGATGGATCTATTGTTTTCTATTTCCTCGTCTTCTTCTTTTGTGTCTTTATTAGCGTCAATTTTTTTTTCATCTTCTGTATTTTCTAAAGATACTGAATTATCGCCCACTTTTGACTTTGAGGTATCATCCACTTCAGTTTTATCAGAAGTATGTTTTGTTGGGGGCTTCTTCTTATTAGAGTAAACAACTTTTTTTGTTTTTTGTTCACCATCCTTATCAAGACCCTCTATCTTATACCCAGATTCTATCATCTGTTGCAACCGCTTTTGGGCTTGCTGCATCTTTGCCTTTTGAGCAGGGTTTAAATATTTACCCTCCTTTTTAAGCCGTTCTTTCTTTTCCTGATATATATAACATTGTAGAACTTTGATAATAAGTCATTCTGATTCTTATATTACACAACCAAAATAAAATTTAATTTTCACACCTTTTCCTTGTCTTTCTTTCTCTGCTTGGCTAATTCCTTCTGTTGTTCTTCTTCTTCTTTACGCCTTCGTTCCTCTGAAAATAAAATGTTACATGTAATTAAGAACGCAATAAGTGAAACTATATGTTATAATGATTACCTTCAACTCGCTTTTGTTCTTCCTCTTCTTGCCGTTTTCTTTCTTCTTCAGCGATACTAAAAATGAGTAAAATATCAGTTATACACAGTAATATTACATAATATTTTTAATAATTAGACCAACCGCTGAGCCTCTAGTTGTGCACGAATAGCCGCAATTGGTGGTTTCTTTTTTGCTGGAGCCTTTTTTTCTTCCTCTTTTGTTGATTTATTTTTTTTTTTCTTTTTATCCTTTTTTGAATCATCATTCGCGGCTTCCGGTGGAGCCTCAGACGTTTGTGGTATCTCTGATGCTGGTGGGTTGGAATCTTCGGTAGATACAGTCTCAGCTGCTACCTTTTCCTCGGCACTTTTTGTATTTGATTGCGTTTTTTTCTTTTCAGCATCAGCCTTCTTTTTTTCTTTTTCTTTTTGTTTTTT